CAGGCTGCATTTGTCTGGGCTAAGGTCTGGTCCAATTGGTGAGGGCAGCAAGCTTTGTGTTGTCCTTGAAATCTGCGTCCTCACCTCCTGTTAATGGTCTTATCAGCAGAGCAAAACTAATAAATCTTGTGCAGCTAGTACAAGAACTGAGGGCTGTCCTCTGAGCCAGCCGATTCCACTCTTCAGCAGCGCCACCTCAGCGAGGCTGTAAACACGCACCACCTGTCGGTGTGGACATGCTCCTCCTATTATTATTATTTTTTTCTTTTTAGGTATTTGCCTGAGGGTGCATGTATCCACTGGAAAGAGACAGAGAGAAAGAGAGAGAAAGAGAGAGAGAGAGGAGAGAGAGAGAGAGAGAGCCACTGAGAGGGAAAATGAGAAATCACCCCCTCAGAGACATGCACAAGACCGTAATCCTTTCTTTTCCACTCTCCTCCCAGGATCTTGGGCATGCACACACACATGCCCAGCATATGTTTCCAGTGACGAGGTCTGGGACTCAAACCAGGGTTTGCCATGAGGGAGTCCAGCAAAGTAACCACTATGCCATCTGCTTGTTCCTCCTCCTATTCTTTTTAGAGAGATTAAGGTGTAATTTATGTATCCCACCTTAAGTATAAAGTTTAGGTAAATTTTTGGTAAATTTATCAAATGCAGCCATCACCTCAAACCAATTTTAAAATATTTCTATTACTCCCCAAAATACTCTCAGGAATGTAGATTGTTGACCACTGCCTAGCATGCCTTGTTGTTTATGAGTAACTTCTTAAAGTGTGAAAAAATAGCTTCCTTGAGGAGACAGTGTGGACTGTGCTTCAAACAGAAAGAAATGGATACTGGTATCTCACACCCACTTAATCCAAAGGTAAGTATCACATTTAGCACCTTCCACACCTTCTACCTTATCCAACACTATAGGCTGTTTCCAAGAAGTTTTATCTCAAATCTAATTGGGAGATCCTAGCACGGAAGACTTTCAGGCCAAGAACCATTGCTGTCTCCAGTTTACTGGAATCTGGAGCACAGAATGTGAGTACCCGTCAAGTGCCTCTGCTAGGATCACGGGCCAACTCAGCATTAGAACTCAGGCGCTCCCAGTGCACACAGATTCGGATTACTAGACTGTCTCCTTCCGAAAACAGCAAATCCCCAGACACTGCCCATGCTTCCCGAGGTTACATAACACAGGCCACTGAGGTCAAGTAAGTCTATTCCTTCTACACATCTTCTCCCCTGAGAAGCCCTTTCTTCCCTTGTCAACAATATGATCAAGGCTTTACTAAGCAAAAGAACAGGTGGGATTTTATGTGCAAGGGACAATTCTCTGCAAATTTTCATTCCATGATTGTTGTCAAAGTGTCTGGAGATGATCATGAGATGCCATGTATAGTCCCAACATCATTTTTTATATTTTCAGATTTGTTCATGACACTCGGAAGCCCTGAACTCTAAGACCAAGTTTGCGCTCTGTGGCTGTTACTGCCACTATGTAACAATAATAAAATGAGAGCTTGGGTTTCACATGCACTTGGCTCCTTGTCGGGTATAGTGCTTTGTACACCTAATCTCGTAACTTGTTCAAAATCAAGCAGCTAATAATTTGCAGAGCCTGGCTCAATCTGATCCAAAGTCTGTTTTTCAATGATAATAGTTATTTGCATATTTCACTTAAGATAGTATGAAGGTAATCAGTATTTTTTGGTATGTTTTTTGTATTTTTAATTGAGAAAAATTGTATGTATTTACGGTGTACAACATGATGCTATACATTGGGGAATGGCTAAATCGAGCTAATGAATACATGCAATACTTTGCATATTTACCTTTTATTCGTGTGGTATGTTTAAAATCTTAAAATCACTCTCAGCATTTTTCAAGTATACAAGACATTGTTATTATCTATAGCTGCCAAGTTGTACAATAGATCTTTTGAATTTATTCTTTTTTCTTTTTTTTTGGAGAGGGTTTTGCTATAGGGCACGTGCGCTTGCCAGACAGAGAGAGACATAGAGACAGAAAGCGAGAAATCATCCCCCAGAGGGGATGGTCACGCCGCAATTCCTTCTCCATTCTCCTCTCGGGATCTTGGGCACGCACGCACACGCGCCCGGCATGAGTGAATTTATTCTTTTTTTCTTTTTTTAAGAGAGATTTTTTGCTATGGAGTGTATGTGCTCACTGGAGAAACAGAGACAGAGAGACAGAAAGTGAGAAATCGCCCTTTCCCCCAGCCCCCCGCCAGAGGGGATGGCCACACCATAGTTCCTTCTCCTCACAGAATTTTGGGCATACACACACAGTGTGAGTTTTAAGCTGCCGGGTCAGGGATTTGAACTGTGGTCAATTACATAGGTGTCCAGTGACATAACCTTTATGCCATCTCCTGGTCCTGAAGTTATTCTTCCCGAGATTTTGGTATCTTTTGACTAACATTTACACAGTCCCTGCCCAGCTCCCAACTTTTGGTAACCACTCTACTTTCTGCTTCTATGAGTTCACTGTTTTTTAGATTTCACATATAAATGAGATCATGAGGTATTTGTCTTTCTTCATCTGGCTTATTTCCCTTGACATGATGTCTATTTGAGTACAAAGTACTGTATGTTCTTGCCTATCACATTACTTAGAATGCTGCAATAATATGTCATACTACAGTGCATATGTGTGTGTGTATATGTGTTATGTGTGTGTCATATACACACATCTGCATATATATATATATATATATATTTCACTTTGTTTCATAAATAATTGAAACAGCTCAGGATTTCCATATGTCCTAAATAGTGATTGATTTGGAAGGTAGCAATATACATAAGATTGAAACCAATATTTGGGTAGGAATTTCTAGTAATTGGTCTATGACAAGAAAAAGGCTTAAGCATGCTATAAGAGACTCCATCTTGTAGTTTCTGTGTTGTCTGACCCACATGTTCTTATTTTTCAAAAGCCTGCACTAAAATGGGAGCTGCCTGTGAATATTTGCTACACGTTTTTTATGAGCATTTTCACATCTTTTTCGCTATCTTCCTATTGCCTGGAAATGTGTCCTGTCACTGATCAAAGTGATTAAACCATATTCTTCAGGAATCACTTGATTTTAATGTACTTTTTGAAGTTATTTTTTTACCCAGAAATGGAGATAATTTGATAATGACCTGCAAAAAATCTAAACAAAACATACTTAAGTGAAAGTTCAGATCTGCTTCTTGCCAAAGATTGCATGATACAACACAAAATTCAGTGACCAAAACAGCCACAGACACCTGGTAGCATGGGAAGGTGGTATCCAAACTCTCCCGTCAATTCCGCAGTGCTTACAAGCACAACTGCAGAATGTTTTTGGCTTCTTTTCAGGATGACTGGAGAGGAGCAGCTGTTGCCATCTCCTGGATAAAGTGACATAGTCTAAAAGAAAGAGTCCAAACTAGGCAGAAACTAATTCCTCTTTCCATCCAGCCCTTTCAAAAACAAAAACACTGCAAGACAAGTCAAACTATGGTAAGCCAAAGATCAGAACTGTTTTAGACACAGCAATGGCTTCAGTTTCATAAGATTACATTTTTTTCCTGCTTCCCAAATGCAAAACAAACAAAAAGATTGAAAAAATATACAGCATGTGCAGTTAACACTTATTTTACATGCAAATGTTTCTTGAACATATTTACACAAAAATATAGTAAAATGTCAACACTTTTTCAGTACTAGATTTAATATCGGAGATATCATATAGCAGACTTAATACTGTCAGTATTTTTTTATTTATTTAGAACAATATTTATAAATGACAATGTATTTTAACCATAATGAAGAGAGAAACACAGGAATCATGAGATCCCATACACAGTGCATTGCAATTCAAATGAAATACATTATATTCATTTATATAAAAACTACTCTAGGGAATATAAGAATTATTTATCTTTCAAAGATAACTAAAGCTAAAAGCAACTTGAAAAATGTACAAACCAGTGAGGTATGACTATTGAAAAAAAGAGAATAAATCTTAAGACAAACATAAATATCAGAGAAATACCTTATTAAAATCTAAGAAGGACACATTCAAATGATTACATTACTCAGGTTACATAACCAATTCAGAGATTTCAAATGACCATTTCACCACAAGGTCACTGATTATTTTTATCTGGGTCTTAGATAACATTCACTCATTCAATATATTCAACAAATAATTATTGAATTCTCTCTGTGCTCTAGGGAATGTATCTGACCCAGAGGAAACACTGGGAAACAAGAGACATAGTACCTGCCCTCGTCGAGCTTACAGTCTAATGGGGATGGCAGGAACAAAGGCACCAACACAGCCTGAGAGGTTCTGTGCTGGGGCCTCCTACCTTGGAGGAGCGACATCTCAGCTGAGACCTGTCAGGTAAAGGGGAGTTGATCAAGTGAAGGGGAAAGGAGATGGAATGACGTTTCCACATAGGAGAAGGAGATGCAAAGACCCTGAGGTGCAAGAGAGCATGGCCTATTCTACAACAGTGGTTCCCAGACACAGGTCCTCAGATACTTTGGGGGCCATAATGAAATCTTCACCTAAAATGGGGACATGAGGACAGTCTCGTACAATTAAAGTCATTTGGTTTTTATGGCTGAGTTTCTGACCATCTGACTTTCTGGCATTAAAATGACCCCTTTTTCATGAAATAATGGTGCTAGGTAGATGGTATTTTGATAAATAGGTGATCCTATGTTTAAAATTAACAAAACAAAAATGACTACTATATAAAATCTTAGATGGGAATATAAGTATGGGAATCACTGTTCAAAGAATAAACTTCTAGAAAGCATTGCATGGTTAAGGGGGAGGGGGGTGAGGGAGACATGAAAAGAGAAAGTTAAAAGGAAAGACAGGAATTCGATTGTGAAGAGCCATGTAAGAACTTTGGACTTTATCCTAAGAGCAATGGGAATGGTTTTAAACAGGGAAGTGGAACTCATGTATGTAGGAGGTCTGGGTGTGTAGAATGTGCTTGGGTTAGGTCATGACCACAGGCAGACAGGTCTGATAAACAGCACTACACTATCCCAGGAAAAAGGGATTAACAGCCAGACTTAGGGCCATATTTGTTGGACTAAATACAAGAAAATCACTTCAAGAGACAAACTTAACAGAATTTGGTGATTTGTTACACTAAGTGAGAAATGGAGTAGTCAAGGCTGATGTCCAGGCTTTATTCTTTGGAAACTGAATTGGTCATTGTGCTAACTATTGAATTAGAGTGAAAGAGAAAGAGCCTCTTTGTGGAGGAAGGTAGTGAGTTCATCTGGGGAGAGCCTGGATATGAGGTGTCTCTGTGTTTAAATGTCCATCAGGTCTCAAGCACAAAAGACAGAAAGAGCTGGGCTTCGCGTATTCGTTTTATAGGTAATGGCTGAAACCACAAAAGTGGGTGAAATTTCTCAAGAAAACAGTATCAGAAGAGAAGAGGGCTTAAGGCATAGGACTAAAGGATTGGCAGGAGATGAGTACTGTGGAAAGAAGCCAGAGACAGAGCTGCCAGGAGGTGGGAGGAGAGCCAGGAGCGAACAGAACAAAGTATCTCAAAGAAACAAGGAAAAGAGGTGGCATTTCAAGGAGGGACCAGGCAGCAGCATCTGAGGTGATAACCGGAAGAAGGACTGAAGAGTGCTCAGGGAAACTAGCAACAGGCAGTTTGACAGAGGCTTTGAAAAGAGCAGAGTGGGGAGCACGTGACAGTGTGAAAACCTGTGAGTAATGCAGAGATCTTCAATGCAGTGGAGCTGTGAAGAGGAAGAGAAATGATGGAAGATGTGCGTTAAGGAAAGTGGGTGGTTTTTTTCAAACATAGATACTTAATGGTGGATGTTGTAGGGGCCTCTTAACAGGGAGGCCTTGAAGAGTTGTAGCAAGAAAAGATAATCAAATAATTCAAATGCAAATATTAGCTATCTTAAAAATGTAAAGGTCTTTAAGGACCTAAACCTTTGTGTTCCTGTAAGAACACAGGATTCATCTATAAAACTGTTAACGGATTTAAATACACTCAAGAATGTAAAATGATTCCAAGAATTTCTGAGGGAATCCCACTTTTAAATATTTTAAAGATCACGTTTTAAAATATTATTTTGAAATTATGGCAATTTTAGCTCTTGTCCATAGAGATCATACTCTTTAAATAAGATGTATCTTCGAATAACTGGTGGTAGAGGAAGCTTCTCCATTGAGGCTGGCTGGCAGAGTCGCTGGAGTCCCATAAGTCTTCGAATTTTTAACCGACACAAATGCTTTAATGAACAAGGATTTTCTAAAATAAAAACAAGCAAAAATTTAAAACAGTATTAATGGATTAACCTGTAAGATAATACAGACTGAAAACTAATAACAATTGTGTCATTTTGAAAAACATGAATATACACTGTAGTAACTGACAATTTTAAGTAAAATTCCGATTGTAATTATATACTCTAGTTTATCCTTCTAGAATGTAAACTCTCTGAAATCAGAGATTTAGTCCATGCCTGATTCATAGTGGTGGTTAACTAGAATTTGTAAATGAATGTATAAACTTGACTTAAGAAAGAAAATGCTGGGCCAGCAGGGTGGCGTGGTGGTTGAGGGCGCTGGACTCCCACATGGCCAACCATAGTTGGAGTCCCAGACCTGGTGGCTTGCTTTCTCACTTTCCCTCTCTCTCTCACACTCTGTCCCTCTCTGGTCAAAATAAAATAAATAAATAAATAAAGTTAAATAAAGTAATTCTTTTTTAAAAAAAGAAAATGTTCATATATTCTGTTTACTTTTTAGAACTATAATAGTGCATTATCTTTATTTATTTCCTCTGTTTTCTACTGATCTTTCTGATGAATAATTATCCAAGAAACATTGATGTAAATGGTTTCATATATACATTTGTGATTCAACCCGAGGTTTGTTTTCAATATCTGGCATCTAAATATTTTGTATTTTCAAAAAATATATGATAACGTTGTTCAAATATCCAATGTTAGTCTTTATTTTCAATTCTTGCTTAATCTGTATTACAGTCACAGTAGTGATAGGTTACGCCGGCAGTATGATCGAGTGAAAGTTCAGCATAGCACACAGACTTAGATATGGGCTCTGAACCTGGCTGGCCTGGATTGAAATTCTGGCTCTGCCACTTAGTATTTGCGTGACCTTGGGCAAGTTATTTAACCTCTGTGATTTCAGTATTCACATCTGATCTGCAAATTGTGGATAGCATGGGACATACTGTAGAGGGTGTTTGGATGATTAAACAAATTAATTCATGTAAAATATTAGAAAGTACTTGGTACATAGTAATCATTCAATAAATGTTAACTATCATTCAGTTCAGTAATAAAAGTCACCATCTTTCTATTACATTTGAGACTATAAACATTCAAGTGGTTTTTAAAAATTAAATTGATGCTTACAAAAATTACTATTACCAAACAACAGGCACACACACACACACACAAATCCATCTTTAGCAAAAAAAAAAAAGAAAAAATTATGATTTCAGTTTTTTCCTCCAATGAAGGCACTGTGTTGTATATATCTGGAGGAATCCTGACATCCAGTGGTTAATCCTGCTCATAGCAATCAACTGACACCAGTTGCAATAAAATGTGAAATAACAAGATGACTTCCTGTTTTTTTCTTACATAGATTGCCTTTCCAAAGATTCCAGAATTGATTATTCTTTTGCAATAAAAACACAAGGGCAATTAAATCTCACTGAGAAGCAAAATATGTGCTGCTTAGGACGGAAACTACCGTGGTATTATAGAGATCTGTGTTTTAAAGACATACAGGGTTCAAATACTTGCTTTATTATTTTTATGTCTATTATTTTAGGAAATTATTTAAGCCTTAGTGTGTTTTATTCTTTCAACCTCTAAACTGTTTTAACTTTGCAAAAATAAAACACAGAGAAACTACATACATGCATAGTTTCATAAGTTTTTATAAGTGATTATTAGATGAATATCTTTAACCACCTCCTAGGCCATGCAATAGAACTTTGCCAGCAACCCCAGAATTCCAGCCAGTCTTCGTCTGTTCCTTCTGTAAGTGCTACTCTGACTTGTACAGTAATCACTTCCTTTAGAGTTTCATTATCTAACTGCACTGCCTCTACATTATAGTATTGGCAATATGTTTTTTTAATTTGATATATCCTTAAATCTTTTTCTTTTCCTTTTTTTTTTTCACTGCCATAGGGCACCTGCACTCACCAGGGATGGAAGGAAGGGGGGAGAGAGAGAGGGAACTCTTCTGCATGAGATGTACTCAAGCTGCAATTGCTTCTGCTCAGTTTCTCTCTGTTAAGATTTTGGCCATGCACACACACACGTGCCAGTGTGTTTTTAAAACCATCAGGGCCAGGATTTGAACCTCAGTCAGCCATGTGTTCCCCATGCACAGTGCCTAACTTCAGAGCTATGGGGCCAGCCCTTAGTCTCTTTCAATCTGTAGGATTTTCTTTCTATCCTCTTCTCATCCTTTCAATTAATCTTTTGACGAATTCAATCCTAGCTCCTTAATTTTGCTTATTGCATTTTCATGGTACAGGTCCATGACTCACTGTCTTCTCCATTTCTTGCAAATTGCTGACTGCATCCAGAGACTTGATCACACTCAGGTGTGATCTCTGCCAAAACTATAGCTGATGTTGTGTGCTTTCATTCAGAACCACGTACTGCGATATTAAGGGCGGCTGATGCTCAATGACTACATTCTTAGTTTACCAGGGGTTGGAATGTGGTGATACGTAATTATATCATTTCTCTTTTATTTATTATTGGAATGCTTTTCTAAAAGGATGTTTTTGTTCATCTACTCTTTAGTTACTAGTGGCACAAAACATATAGGTAAAAAAGAAACACTTCTTAAATCTTTCTATTTTTTTATTGATTTTTAAAATGACGAGTTGATTTTCTATTGTCCTCTGGACCTGACCAGTTTTTAAAATACAGTTATATATATACATATATATATATATCAGATAGGTCTCACACGTGGAAATCATATCCTTTTTAAACTTAAATAGTCTCATCTTTGACTAGAGGGAGCCTCTTCAAGTTGGCTCTTGAATTCTTTTGACATGATTCTTGTATTCTTTAAGAGTTTCTTTCCTGTCTGATATGACCAGATGTTTCAGGTTCATCTTGTACATTTCCTTCTGCATTCCTAGGATCTCCAAGAAATCCTTGCTTGTTTTAGTAGAAAATAGCACTTCCATGACAAAATCTAGGTGCCACTTCTGCTCATTGCTGCCAGATTGGTCATTATTTTTGAGCTTTATTTGCAGACAGACAAATAGACACACGCACACACACACACCCACACACACACACACTTCGAAGATAAAATAGCTTATTGGTCCATATTGATACCTCAAATTCAGGACTATAAGAGTTCTCTTTAAACTCTTCTGTACTACATCTATATTTCCTTTCCTCCAGACTGACAGTCCTAGTTCTCAAAATCACAAATAATAATGGAATTCAAATATCCTTTAAGTACCCATTTACTGAATACATATCTCATTTTCAATGTAACAATATTAATATTGCCACCAATTATTTTAAAACATTTAAAAATAAACACTTGTTTATCGTTAAACATGATTTATTCACCAATTTTTTTCTCAATATTTAGAAATCAGTAGTTGTGCCATCTCCATATGGTCAGAGCATATAGCCATGGTATTTTACATCTACTTCCTTTTAACTCTCACTTAGTCTTCGTATTCTGTTCAGTGCTACTTTTGTTTAATATGAGTCATTATGTTGACATCTCTCTAATCATTTTGAGTTGTCTTAGGTCATTTCGCAGTGAATTCTGAAGAAGCCAATCAGAGGAACATTATTTCTCAAGTTGAGTTCTTGCATGCCGGCAGAAATTTGCCTGCATCGATAATCCAAAGTCAGTTTTGCTGTATATGCATCCTAGGGTTACATTTTTCTTCCATAGGTAGTCTTAAACATACTACTTAATCAGATTATTTTGAAAGTAAAATAGCACTGAAAAAGTATTACAAAAAGACACTATGAAATTTCTTCCGTCTATATTCTTAATTTTAAAAAAAGTTACAGGTAGAAGTTTCATTTTTACCTAGTATTTGGCGGATTTCTGGCCATTCTCTCTGAACTTCTAGTGCTGCCTTCAGTTTCGCACACAGAGGAACATAATCCATGTAGTCTATTAATACACGAATCACGCTGCCTACCAAGTGTTTCATCCAAGGAACTGTAATAAACTCACAGAACTGAGAGAATTGATAAAACTTAGTTTAGTAGTATTTTTAATTTGCCATATACATAAGCACTCAATTTTGTTACAAAAAATATCTCTTTGTCTTCTTACAGGAAATTAAAAATCCCTCCTTGCAACGAATAAAACACTTATCAAGACACAAGAATGTAAAGTTCTCTTGAAAATTATGTAATATCCTTCATTTGATTGTCATGTACTAAATGCGTACTTTGAAAAACCACATTGTGTTACAGAGATGTACAATGACTGAACATAAATTAGAAATCATAAAATTAAAAAAAATATATAAAGAATAACGTGTGCTAAATGAGAATTAAAAAAATTAATTACTCTTTGTCTTTTCACAGGAAATAAAAGATCCCTCCTTCTAAGAAACAAAAATGGGGACCAGCAGATGGTATAATGGTTATGTCACTGGATTCCCACATAGTTGACTATGGTTCAAATCCTGGACCTGGTGGCTTAAAACTCACACTGGGATGTGTGTGTGTGTTTGTGTGTGTGTGTGTGTGTGTGTGTGTGTGTGTG